ATAGCTGCTGCACTGGGAGGGCTTTGTGTTTATTCTGAATCATAAGGAAAGTGAGAATCTATGGAAGCCTTCATGCAGGAAAAGAGCCAAGGGAGACCTGAAGGATTGTGATACATAGGATAGAAGTATGCTAAAGGATGAGCGTTAGGCAGAATCTGATCCTCTATCTGCTTGCTGGTTTTCCAGATGATGTTCCCTGTGTTCCTGGGCCACACTGTACCCCCTGAGACACTGACAAGCACTTTGGCTGAACTGGACAGGTGTCTGCAGCTTCTGGAGGACAAATTCCTGCGGGACCAGCCCTTCCTTACTGGGCCCCATATCTCAGTGGCTGATTTGGTGGCCATCACTGAGCTGATGCATGTGAGTGCCAAGGAGTAGGAATGGCTCTGGTGAAATAAGGAATCCCAGGAGGAAGACTTTGTCCCTGCAGTTGATTCTGCATGAGTCATTTCATCCTCTGAAATGAGCCTTCATAGATAAAAAGTTATCTTCAACCTGGGCACCAGTGGCTCACACTTGTAATCCCAAACTATTCAGGAGACTGAGATCTGAGGATGGACGTTCAAAGCAAGCCCAGTCAAGAAAGTCTGTGAGACCTTTCTCTCAGGCAGATAAATCCAAAATATTATTTTTTTTCTGCTGGCCCTGGGCCTTGAACTCAGGGCCTGGGTATTGTCCTTGAACTTTCTTGTTCAAGGCTAGTACTCTACCACTTGAGCCACAGATCCACTTCCAGCTTTTTGGTGGTTAATTGGAAATAAGAGTCTCACAGATTTTCCTGCCTGCACTGGCTTCAAAGTACAATCTTCAGATCTCAGCCCCCAGGGTTTATAGGTGTGAGCTACTGGTGCCCAACTCAATACAAACTCAGTGAATGCAGACTATAGCAAATTGAAGGAAGTACAGACTTCTAAATGAAATGTTTCAATGTAAAGCTTCTTAGAATGAAGCCATATGGACAATTTTCTACATAACCAGGAAACAACTTCCCTTTCACATTCGTGAAATCATGTTTTTGTCATTGTTTGGTGCAAGTACCAGGGCTTGAACTCAGGACCTGTATGCTATCCCTTAGCTTTTTTGCTCAAGGCTAGTACTCTACCATTTGAGCCATAGCTTCACTTTTGGCTTTTTGGTGGGTAGTTGGAGAAAAGTCTCATGGACGATCCTCAGATCTCGGCCTCTTGAGTGTGAGCCACTGGTTCCAAAGAGACTCTTATCTCTAATTAACCACCAAAAAGCTAGAAATGGAGGTATTGCTCAAGTAGTGGAGTGCTAGCCTTGAGCAAAAAAGCTAAGGGACAACACTCAGGTCCTGAATTCAAAGCCTAGTTCCAGCACAAAAAAGGGGGTCTTCATAATTCCTTATATAGGGATATAAGAGGCCTTCCTATGGCTTCTCGTAGAAGAGGGTAACACTATCCCTCCCACCCAGCCCATTAGACACATTGTGGAGATGTTAAAATTCATTTGGAAAAACTGTAAGGCAGGTCATGTTGCCTTGTGTTTGGCTGTACCTAGCCACTCTACCTGGATTCTTTTCTCTACAGCCGGTGAGTGCTGGCTGCCGGGTATTTGAAAGCCGACCCAAGCTGGCTGCGTGGCGCCAGCGTGTGGAGGCTGCAGTGGGAGAGGACCTCTTCCAGGAGGCCCACGCAGTTGTCTTGAAGGCCAAGGACATGCCTCCATTGGACCCTACCTTGAAGGAGACATTTAAGCACTCATTGAAGAGTTTGTTGCAATGAATGACTTGTGTGGACCTGTGGATCCATCCAGAAAAACAATGATTTGTCATAATAAAGAGACAAAGTTACCTGTCTCTCTGGCTGTAATAGGATAAGTCCATGAACTCTCTGGTAAACAGTTCCTTTTATGTACTTAACCAATTTTACTCTTAACATCGGTTCCAGTTTGACCTGGTCGGATAGCTTTAGTAAACACAAGGCTGCATTCCTCTTCTTTTGAAAAATTCCTGTGGTTCCTCACTTCAGGGAGGCTAAAATGCAAGTCATTGAACCCCATTCTTCCAAACTTCCCCCTTTGGTTATATTTATTTTGTTACCCAATGCAGGTTAAAGTTAGTGAAGTGTACCTTTAAAAGTAGGGCCTGTTCCTTAGGGTTCCTGACTTGCATCACAGAGTAAGAATTTCTGGACAAGTCACAGTGGTAAAAAAAATAAAACTTGACAGAGCTTTATTGAGTAAGTAAACAAGCAGTTAAACAAAAAAAAAAAAAGGTGGAAAAAGGGGCTGGGAAGATGGCTCAGTGGTAGAGCGCTTGCCTTACATGCCTGAGGCCCTGGGTTCGATTCCTCAGCACCACATAAGCAAAAAGAAAAATCCAGAAGTGGCACAGTGGTTCAAGTGGTAGAGGGCTAGCCTTGAGCTGAAGAGCAGAGGGACAGAGCCCAGGCCCAGAGTTCAGGCCCCATGACCGGACCCAAACAAACAAACAAAAAAAGTGGAAAAACAGAACGAAAGGGGCACACTCTAACAGAGTGTGGGTGCTCTTGTGGAAAAACAAAGAGACACATAGTTCCCTGGCTGTTAGGACTATTTATTTGGTAAAGGCAGGGCAGGGGTATGACTTTAAAGTTATATAAAGATAGATGTTTTATCTTTGTTGTAATTACTCTTGGTATTAACACTTTCTGAGTTCCTGGGTGTTTTGGGCATATCTTCCAGGTAAGAATGCATGCTGCTATAAAACAGATGCCTATCCTTGAGATAAGGAAAGTGTCCTGTTCTCTTGTCTGTCTACCTTTTGGGTAGGAGGTTGCTTACATTTTGGGGGAGCATTTTTCTCAGGAAGGCATACATTCTGTCAAACAAATGTTAATTAGGGTGAGAAATATATGTCTGAGGAAGGAATGCATCCTGCTGTCCTCTCTGAAGCAAAGATAGTGCTTCTGTGTTTCTCAATACCATGTTTCTGAGTTACTGTCACCAGGCCTCATTTTCTTGTTTATCCTGCCTCATTTTCCCCTAAATGACATTGGTCCCTTAAGCTTAAGGGAAGTAGATGGATGAATATCCATACCTCATTTCCCTCAAGTCTGTCCTGCTTCATTTTCCCCTAAAATGATTTTGTTCCCTTAATTTTAAAAGAAGTAGATGGACTAGCTTTAAGCTTGAGTTTTTTAAATTCCTGACAGCCATTTACCATGCCTCGTTTTCCCCTAGTCTATCTTGCCTCAGTTTCATACTCCTTCCCTGATCACCTTGGCCTCTGCTCATATTATCTTCACCTTACCTTCTTTGCCTGGTGCCTCTACTACCATTTAGCACCATGTTCCTTCTCTAGGAGATTTCTCTGACCTCCTCTGTCCCAAACCAGGTTAGTTGAACTACTGGTGCCTTAGCGCCAGTGTTGCCCTGCCTCATTCTGGCATGAGTTAGGCTCCTTGCTTCCTGGTGTGAGCATATGTCACAGACAGAGTAAAGGGATGTCTGATCAGAAATAGCCTCTCTCCACCAAATCTCTCTCCTCTTTCTAAGGTGATGTTGTCTCCCCCTGGTGGGGTGCAGGGTTGCTTCATGAACATCCTTACAGGGAGAGAAATCCCTAGTTATTTTTTAGTTATCCATGTACTGAGCAGCCTTGGTGTCCCATACTTATTCCTAACCCTAACCCATCTTCTCCTCACCCAACTCTTGTGTTCCAAACTCACTGTCCTCATGACTCTCACAACTTATTAGTCTTGTGTAATGGGCTTCTTTTTTGCAAATTTTCTAATAAATCGACTCCTAACCAGACAAGAAAGGTTGATGGAGTCTCTTTGCCCACTTGCTTTTCCATGGAGGTTCTCAATATCCATCCTTAAAATTTCCTATATGTAACTGGCTAGTGTAAGGTATATTAAATAAGATAGATTTCATTAGGTAGCCGATGAAGAGAACACAACACACTATTCAGGCAAGACAAGAAGTTTATTTACCGAACTGCTGCCCCTGCCATGCATGATGGAGAGGCATGGCTGAAAAAGGAAGGGCGGCAACCCACCCTTGAGCCAGGACTTATCTAGACCAGGGACAGGAAGAAGTGTGGCCACATTGCTTCTGGATGTGATCTCAGGGTCTGGAACCTTCCTACGGTCAGATGGGAGGCACGTTACCAGAGGTGGCCCAGGATGTGACCTAGCAGGAGGGGAAGGTGACTGCTTCCAGGTGTGGCAGTTACCTAGGTAACAGATACTGGGCGGAAACTTAGCCAAGAGGTAAGGAGGTGTCCCTGTGCAGACCTTACAGCTAGATTGTCTTGTCTTAAATAATGTGACATTGCTTGGTATAGTGACTCATCATTTACACAAAAGACCAGTGTCTGGGGGGAGGGGGACAAGTGGAAATGCCCTTGATCTAAGGACTTGCCAAGCCCTACTGGTGGGCAGGTCTCCAGGTTGTTCAAAAGAAGCGCAGATTCAGTGCTCAGTGATACCATGCTTGCCTATAATACAAGGCCCTAGGGTTGGCACACACTGGCGGGGGGAGGGGGGGATTGCCGAGGGAGTAGAAACAGGAGAGTCAAAAGTTTCAGATCAGCCTGAGCTATGCAGGAAGTTCAAGGCCAGCTGAAATTACATGAGGAAATGTTGCAATAGAAAAACACACAAAAACAAGGGATACAGCAGATTCCTACATTGAGGTTGCTTGACTTTCGAAACCATGTCAGTTCGTTCAAAACCCACATGCAAGGTGATGGTTCCTGCAGAACTATGTATTTTAGAAGTGTTTAGATCTTTTTATAACTAGTGGTATAGAAATGGCTGAGCTCAACACCTGAAAGTCTGGTTTGAGCAGGATGGGCGGAGCCTGGGCTCAGTCCGTGTCCAATCAGAGGTGTGGGGTCACACCTGACATTCTGGAAGGTAGGATTTCTGGAAATTTGCCTCCAGTACACGTGACTTCAGAGTCAGGGGGCGTGGTCCTGGCAGCCAATCGGAGAGTGAGGAGTTTGCCCAGCCAATGAGCAGCCTGGTTGTCGTGGGTCCCGCCTCGGGTCCAAAGCGGTCACTCTAGGAAGCCGGGCGTGCGGCTCCGGGCTCGGTGCTCTCTGGCTCCGTGGCTGCCGCGGACCCTCCCCGTAGACATGCCGTTCGTTGAGCTGGACACGAACTTGCCCGCCAATCGCGTGCCGGCAGGCCTAGAGAAGCGGCTCTGCGCGGCGGCCGCCGCCATCCTGAGCAAACCTGAAGACGTGAGTGAGGATCCTGGCCCTGGAGACGGGAGGGTGGAGGAGATCCGGGGTCGAGCTCTGTCCAAGTCCCGCCTCCTCACAAGGACCTGTACCCTTCTCCCTAGGAACTCCTTGTCGGCCCACTAACCTCTGACCGTCCTGGGCCCCCCTCCCCAGCCGTGACCCTGACGTGACCCCCAAGGACACTGGCGGGTGCCCTGACCCCTGACTCCGGCCCCCGCCCCGTGCCACTCCCCTGCTCCCCTGAACCCGACGCAAACCCTGAGCCGCTCAGCTTTAGTGAAACTTGTGTCCCCTGCAGCGCGTGATCTGTACGCTGAGGCCTGGCCTGACCATGATGCTGGGTGGATCCACAGAGCCTTGTGTCCAACTGATCGTCTCCTCCATCGGTGTGGTGGGTACAGCTGAGGAGAACCGCGGCCATAGTGCCCGCTTCTTTGAGTTCCTCACCAAGGAGCTGGGCCTGGACCAGGACCGGTATGTAGGAGTAGTGAGAAAGTCTATTATGGACCCCTAGCAACCAAAGGTGGCCATCTGCCACAGGCCTCCTATGTAAGTTTGAGAGGTGGAGGGAGGGGGACAGAGAGGGGGAGAAGAGGGGGGCAGAGACGGAGAGAAAGGGGGAGGAGGAGGAAAAGGGAGAGGGCTGATTCTGCGCCAAGCCTACTGGTAGCTATAGCCTTATACCTAGCTATTCAGGAGGCTGAGATCTGAGTATCAGGGTTTCAAACCCAGCTTGGACAGAAAGCTCCATGAGAACTCTTATCTCCAATTAACCACCAAAAAGCTGGAAGTGAAGGTGTGGGCTTAAGTGGCAGAGTCCTAGACTTGAGTAAAATAGCCAAGGCAAAGGAATGGCTTCTAGGACTTCAGTGTTTTTCCATCTGCACACTAGGAAGGCCCTTTTTAAAACACCTTTCAGGGAAGGGATGGGTTAGGAGTGATGGGTGACAATGTTGTCAGATACCTTGTATTCATATTTTATATAATGGGAACTTCTTTGTACAACTACTTAAAGATAAAAATAATTAACCCGGCCCCAGTGGCTCACACCTGTAATCCTAGCTACTCAAGAGGCTGAGATCTGAGGATCAAGGTTCAAAGCCAGCCCGGGCAGAAAAGACCTGGAGACTCCTATCTCCAATAAACCACCAGAAAACCAGAAGTGGCGCTGTAGCTCAAGTGGTAGAGTGCTCGCCTTAAGCAGAAGAGCTGAAGGACAGCGCCCATGCCCAGAGTTCAAGCCCCACGAACGACAAAAAATAAAAGAAAGTAAAAAAATATTAAAAAAAACCCAAAAACCTCAGGGGTACTACAAGGGTCGTTGGGATGGCTTGTGTGATGCACCTTGTCTTGGTACCTGGCAAGATAGGAGGGTGTTTATTATCCTGAAGAAAGATTTCAAGGAGAACTGTTCTGTTCAGAAGGAAATCTGTGTACGTCCCGAGGATGAGCCTTTGGACTAGATGAGGCTAGAGTAAGGAGGTACTGAAGAGAGCATTGGCTTGCATGTTTAGGCATTTGGGTTCTGGGCCCAGCACAGCACAGAGACCTTAGACATACCTGAACATGAAACATCTCATTTGCAGCCTCCTTTTCTGTGAAAGGACGGGGCAGACTCAATGACCTTCCCTTCCCCACAAGAAGGCTCTTCCCCTCAGACCTAGCCATCTGTGGCAGGGTGAAAGTTTCCTCCTGGAGGGAAATATATGTTTTTGTTTTGTTTTGTTTTTTGTTGGTCATGGGGCTTGAACTCTTGTCCTGGACACTGTCCCTCAGTTCTTCAGCTCAAGGCAAATGCTCTACCACTTGAGCCACAGTGCCTCTTCCGGTTTTCTGGTGGTTAATTGGAGATAATAGTCTCACGGACTTTCCTGCCTGGGCTGGCTTTGAACCATGATCCTCAGATCTCAGCCTCCTGAGTAGCTAGGATTACAGGGGTGAGCCACCAATGCCCAGCTGTTGAGGGAAAATATTTCTGAGCCTAGTCTATGTCTGTAGGCAACAATGGGCATGAGAAGTCTGAAAGCTCCGGTTGGCCTAGGAAGGCTGGTGAGGAATTGCTTGTTCCTGCTAGCTGTTCAGTCTCTGTCCTCAAGCTGGGGAGAGAATTTTTAACAAATAACCAATATACTTAACTTGTGCTACGAAGAACACTATATCCATAATCATATTTGATCCCTACCAACCCTGTTCATGGCCCCTCTGTGTAGACTTGTCATTCCCAAGGTAGATAGCTCCATTGTATTGACTTTACAGGTGGAAAAACTGAGACTGCCATCCCTTCTAGTCCCTTATTCCATACCAGGTTATCCCAATGCCTAGTATTCTTCACCAGGAACTTCATGTCATTTCTGGAAGGGACACTTTCATTTATCCCACAAACTTTAATTAGGGTACCCTTTGCCTGGTCTTAAGTCAGACTGAAGAAGCCAGAATGGGCTGGTCCCCAAGGACCCTGCAGAAGGGACAAGGAGAGCTATCGCCCTTCAGACTGCACAATTAACCACATGGCATACCTACGTTGTGTTATGTCTGCTCTGGGAGGGGCATGCCCATGTATAGCTGTCACCTAGCAACCTATTCTGTCTGGGTCAGCTGAAGATCATTAACTGTGATGAGCAGATTGGAAAACGGCGTATGGGCTGATGTGGACTGGTCTGAGAGGCCACAGCGGGGATGCCTGCTAGGTGTCTTGCAAGATTAGGAGTTACCCAGGGAACTGACAACTTTTTCCTGCTTCTTGAAGGATAGTTATCCGCTTTCACCCACTGGATCCCTGGCAGATTGGGAAGAAGGGGACAGTCATGACATTTTTGTGATTGGCAACAAGGATCCATGGCATCTGTGAGCTGACTGTCCCTTCCAGAGAGGCCTGATTCTAGCAGCCCTTCTGTAGACATATCTGTGGCTTTACCTCAGTTTTACTCTTCACTATCCTCACACCAAATAAAGAATATCATTATTCAAACATTATTCAAACATGACTTTGTATGTGTATGTGTGTGTGTGTGTGTGTGTGTGTGTGTGTGCGCGCGCACACACGCACGCGTCATCCTGGGACTTGAACTTAGAGCCTGGGTACTTTCTCTCTCTCTCTCTCTCTCTTTTACTCAAGGCTAGCAACTCTACCACTTGAGCTACAGTTCTACTTCTGGCTTTTTGGTAGTTTATTGGAGATAAAAGTCTCATGGCCTTTCCTGACTGTGCTGGCTTCAAACTGTGATCCTCAGATCTCAGCTCCTGAGTAGCTAGGATTACAGGCATGAGCCACCATCACCTGTTATATAACTTCTTTGGGTGTGGTGGGCGGTCCTGGCGCTTGAACTCCGGGCCTGGGTGCTGTTGCTTAGCTTTTTCCTTCAAGGGCAGTGCTCTGCCACTTAAGTCATAACTCCACTTCTGGCTTTTTGGTAGGTATTAAAGATAAAAGGCCTTTCCTTCCTGGGAAAGTCAGCCTCTTGACTAGCTGGGATTACAAGTGTGAGCCACCAGAGCCCAGCTCAAACATGACTTACTTCTCTACTTCCTTTCCCAGCATCTGGACTATTGTAGACAATGGTGTTTAAGAGGCACACTGAAGTGGGGTGATTCCTGTTATCAGAGATGCTGTTTGATACATTTACAGTGCTGAAATTTTGAGTGAAGGGCTAACCCTAGAGATTCTGCTCTTTACACCCATGTGTGTAGGCCAGTGGGGACTTGGGTGGTACCTAGTCTAGCCTGGAACTTCCTACATACTCTGCTGATACTGTAAATTCTAACTATTATTTCCTATTGACTTCTGTGCTGACCTACCAAATGGGAATGGCTGCATTTCAGGGACCTTCCCTGGACTTGACTTTGTACATGACTCTTGTTGAGAAGTTACTGAAGCCCTTTTCTTTGCAAAATCCAAACCAAACACGAGAAACACAGTGTTTGTCATCATGCTTAGCATATAAGTATAATGCCGTTTTCTCTTACAACTGTCACAACCTTTCTATTTGTCTTGTGTCCCATATTCTCTTATAACTGACACATAATAAGTGAACTCCTAAGAGGACCAGAAACAAGGTAGACTGAGTGTCTTGTCCTTTCTGACTTCCCATGGGGGATCCTTTATCCTGCACATTTTATAGAAATTTACATTTGTAATTGAAATTGTACATATATAGCCACACAATTTCAAATTACATTCAAAATTTCCAATTCAAGTAACTTTGCAACACTGATGGGACAAAATAATCATATTAAATCAACCCACTGTTTTCTGTTATTTAAATAAAACTTTTACTTCCTGTTAGAATGTGGCTCAACATTGGTCATGATAGTCTTCAAAGGCTGGCTGTAGGGACCTGGCAGAGATGATATGGGGTCTGAAGATCCTGACTTATCCACCTACCAACTCCTGTCAGCAAGGCTCCTATTGTTTAAGAGAAGCTCAGGCTAGACCTACCTACTCAGGAGGCTGAAATCTGAGGACTGAGGCTCAAGACCAGTCTAAGCAAACAGATCTGAGAGTGTGTTCAGCAAAAGCCCAAAGTGGAGGCATGGCACAAGTGGTAGGGTGCCAGCCTTGAGGGAAATAGCCAAGTGAAAATGAGAGGCCCTAAGTTCAAGCTCCAGTGATGCTCCTCAAAATAAAAGAAAGAAAAGAAGCTCATTTTCATATTGAGTGTAAAGTTGTCTTGCTTTGAAAGGATGGCAACTGCTTGCCTGCCTGCCTGCCTGCCTGCCTGTCTACCTACCTACCTTCCTTCCTTCCTTCCTACCTTCTTCCTTCCTTCTCCCTCTCTCCCTCTCTCTCTTTCTTTCCTCTTGTACTGGTCCTGGGGCTTGAAATTGAAGTCTGGGTGCTGTCCCTGAGTTTTTTAGCTCAAGACTAGTGCTCTACTGCTTGAACCCTAGCTCTACTTCTGGCTCTTTTGGAGTGGCTAATTACAGATAAGAGTATCATGGACGTTCCTACCCAAGCTGACTTGAACTGTGAACCTCAGATCTCAGCCTTCTGAGTAGCCTAGATTATAGGCATGAACCATCAGTACCCAGCTTTGTTTCATTATTTTTAAACTTCTGTGACATAGAATTATATTCCAGTTTATGAAACACACTTTGTGTGTGTGTGCACGCATGCATGTGTGTCGTTAAGATGACTAACCTTATCTGTGAGTGTCTGTGTGTCTGTGTGTGATGTTAAGTTTACTACCTAAATATGGCTTAGGAACCAAGTCCCATCTATTCTATAGGAACAGTTAAGGAGAAGAGGGATCCAGCCCAGCTGGAGCAGGTAAGAAAGTCCTGTGCTACAATAGTCTTGTAGCTTGAGGGATGACAGGAGTTTCTGAATTCAGAGCCAGTGTACCTGCTCATTGAGGAAGTAATGAGTATCTTGTCTAGTCAGTGAGGAGCTTGATTGTCTTGGGTCTTTGCCCCTGCTGCCTATCTCATTTCCTTTGGTGTAAGTCAGCTCTACTGGCGTCCGGCATCATATCCATTTTTAGAGGCATCTTAGGCCAGGTTCCAGTGGCTCTTACCTGTAATCCTAGCTACACAGGAGTCTGAGATCTGCAGATCACAGTTCCAAAGCAACCCTGACAAAAAGTCAGTGAGACTCTATCTCTAATAAAGTACTTCCTAAAAATAAAAGCCAGATGTGGAGCTGTGGCTCAAGTGTAGAGCACTAGCCTTGAGAAAAAGAAACTCAGGGATAGATCTGGTCCCTAAATTCAATCCCTAGTACCAGCATACACAAAAAAAGCATAAAGTTCTCTCTTATGCAATTTGTGGGCAGGGATAGGATGGGGGAAACTGGGGGGCAAAGAAGGAAGGGGTGACATTGTCGAAAAAAGAAATGTACTCGCCAGGCGCCAGTGGCTCACGCCTGTAATCTTAGCTACTGAGGAGGCTGAGTTCTGAGGATCATGGTTCAAAGCCAGCCCAAGCAGAAAAGTCCAAGAGACTCTAATCTCCAATTAACCACCAGAAAAGCAGAAGTGGTATTGTGGCTCAAGCGGTAGAGCACTCGCCTTGAGCTGAAGAGCACAGGGATAGTGCCCAAGCCCAGAGTTCAAGCCCCATGACTGGACAAAAAGAAAAAGAAATGTACTGATTACCTGACCAATGGAATGATAACCCCTCTGAACAATACCTTGGTAATAATAAAATTATATATATATATATTTTTAAATAGTTTTGGGGGGACACAAATGGAGGGACAAAGAGTGAACAAATGCAGCAGTGGTACTCACTAGAAACTGTGGAAAACAAACTATACAACTTGTGGGAAAGGACTGGAGGGAGATACTGGGAGAGAATGAGGGAAGGAGTGACATTGTCCAAAAAGAAATGTACTTGTTATTTGACTGTAACTACTCTGTGCATCACCTTTATGATATATATGTTTTATATATAGGTTACTTTTATTCTGTTTTATTTTCATACTGCGAGGTCTGGGGAAAGCATTGACTTCTGGGACCTGTGTATCCAACTAGGCCCTGGTAAGGGGGCTTCTCTCTCTCTCTCTCTCTCTCTCTCTCTCTCATGCTGGCACTGGAACTTGAACTCAGGCCCTGGCCCTGGGCCTTTGCTTTTTTTTTCCCTCAAGGCTGGTTCTCTATTCCTTGAGCCAATGTTCCACTTCTGGGGTTAATGGTAGATAATAGAGTCTCACAGACTTCCTTGCCTGGGCTGACTTTAAAACCTAATAATCCTCAGATCTTAGTCCCCACTGGCACCTGGATAGGAAAGTGGGTTTTTTGTTGTTGTTGTTGTTTTTGTTTTGTGCTAGTCCTAGGGCTTGAACTCAGGGCCTGGGATCTTTTCTGCTCAAGGATAGTGCTCTACAACTTGAGCCACAGATCCACTTCTGGATGTTTTGGTAGTTAGAGATAAGAGTATCACTTTCCTGTCCAGGATGGCTTCAAACTATGATCTTCAGATCTCAGTTAGGATTATAGCCATGAGCCAGTGGTGCTTTCCTGGAAAATCGTCACTTTCCCAGGGGCCTTGCAAGGGTCATTGGGATGGCCTGTGTCCTTTCCCTGGCAAAGTAGGAAGGTTTTATTACTCTGAAGAAGAAAGTCTGATTTTCAAGACATTTTTTAAGTCTGGTTGGAAGGAAACCTGGTGTGTTTCCTGGAACAGTGGCTAACCTGGTTCCAGGTGAAGTTAGTAAGGAAGGTCAATACTGAGAAAAGTACTGAACTAGATATTTGGATACCAGGTTCTGGATGCCATACAATTAAGGGACCCCAGCCCAAGCTGGAAATGAAACATGTTGAGTTTATAGTCTCTTCTTTGAATAAAGTGTGTATGTGGTGGGGAGGGGGATCAGTCTAAATGACCTCCCTCCTCTACAAGTAGACTTTAACCCCAACCTGGCACTCTGTGGCAGGGTTTAAGTTTCCTCCCAGAGAGGAAGATACTTCTGAGCCTATGCCTGTGAAGAATGAAAGGTATACTTTTAAAAAATAAACATTTTATTATTATTTATTTTTTTGCCAATCATGAGACTGGACACTGTCCCTAAGCTTTTTTGCTCAAGGCTAATGCTCTACCCCTTTAACTATAGTTCCACTTCCCGCTTCTTGGTGATTAATTGGAGATAAAGAGTCTCATGAACTTTACTGCCTGGCCTGCCTTGAACTGTGATCCTTAAATCTCAGCCTCCTGAAGAGCTAGGATTACAGGTATGAACCAATGGCACTTGTTTGCTGTTCACACAGTGACACCTGGGAATGCCATGTCTAGTAGGCAGAAAGTGGACTATACCATACAGGTATAGACAAGGTTTATTAGGAGAACTGTCTACTTACATTCGGCATACACACAAAGAAAGTAAATCTTAGTCGGTAGCCATGTGACAGTTTCACAAGGCCAAAAGTTTACAGGAGATATATGTGGCCAAAAGAATACAGGGGCTATTCGAGGCCAAAATGTTACAAGAGATATACAAGGCACAAATGTTTACCTGGGAGAAGTGTCGAGGGATGG